CAAGACAGGCGCACGGACGAGTGACGACAGGGCACAGCACGTGCTGCACCGGGGCCCTCTGTGTGCAGGCCCTGGGGGCTAAGGTCGAAGGCTCCCCTGGGCCTTGCATGGTCCCTGTAGCAGCCACGTGCAATAGATCCAGCCGCCCTGGACTCCCCCGGTGCCCAGATGGGGCAGGGGAGACTTGGGCACCAGAGAGGTAGGCACAGGGTCCTGGCATAGGGGAGGACCGGAGCAGATGGGGAAAATGCACCAGAAGCTGCAGTCTGGCACCGCCAACCCCTGCCCCGTACCGCTGTGGCTGCGCATGTGGATCTCCAGGGAGCTGGCGCTGGGGCAGCTCTTCTTGCACTGGGGGAAGGGGCAGATGCGCTCGTTGGGGTAGGTCTCCTTGGGCTTCTCGTCGGCGGCAGGCGAGGCGGAGCTCTGCCGGCTGGCGCAGTAGTACATGAGGTGGGCTTGCAGGTTGCGCTCGCTGCGGTACCAGATCCCGCAGTCCTTGCAGGGGAAGACGTCCTCTGCGGGGGGGGGGAGACGGGGCAGGGGGCATTAGCCAGGCTGAGATAGACTCCCCCCACCCTCAAGCAGGTGCTGATGATGCCCCAAATCTGGGAGAAGGGAACAGGAGGAGCATGGGGTGGGGGTGAAATGCAGCCAGGCCACCCTGGGGGAAACTGAGGCACGGGGAGGAGGGCTGGCGAGCAGGGCCTGCTCCTCCTCAGAGCCAGCAGCCAGGGCTGATCCCAGGGCACAGGCAGGACCCCGTCTTACTGTTCACGACGGCCGTGGCCAGGATGGCAGCCATGCCAGCCTGCTGGGGCAGAAGCTGGATGTCAGAGTGCAGCGTGGCCGGGTACGGGACGTCGCCGGGCTCTGGCTTCACAGCGTGGTTGGGGATGGCCTGTGGCTCAGTCATCACGATGGCGCTCAGCGGCTCGCCCTCCCGCACGGCCTGCGTGGTCTTGCACCAGATGCCTTCATCTGTGGAGGCAAGGGTGCGGGGATGAGGGGGGCACTGGATGCCAGGACCCCACTTTCCCAGCCCTGCTGCCAGCCGTGCTCCAGAGACAGGCAAGGACCCTGTAAGCATCTCCTTGCACCACGCTCTGCTCGCCTTCCTGACCCCGCTGCTGCCCTGAAGCATGGAGATAAGCAAGCCCCAAACAGCTCACATCAGCATCGTAACAACACCTGATCTCTCCTGAGCTCCTCCCGGAAAAAACCTGGACAGGGGGATTTGCAGAGAGATGGCAGCCTGACACTGCCCATCCACACAGCTGCGGAGATCAGATCCCAACCAGACCGGGAAGCAGGAGCTGGTGGGGGCACAGCCTCTGTGCTAATGGGATCACCGAGCCAGCAGATCCGGAGCGGCTGCCTGTCCCCTGCCTCCCATCCCCGGGCCAGCCGGGAGGTGGCGGTGTCAGCCCGTGCTTTGGGCTGAGCTCTTTGATCAGCTGCTCCCGGCTCTGGAGGATGCTGGCGCCGGCTCATGAAACCAGCCACCGCCTCCTTCTGCACCCACTGCCCACCCTGGGAAGGAGGTTTCTGGGGGCAAGGCACGGGATGCCACTGTCCCTCGCCCCCATGCTGGCCCCGTAAGAGCCCTGACGTGGGTACCAACCCTTCCTGTAGATCACCGCATTGGCCTCAGCCTCGGTGGACACCAGGGGCAGGTGGGACAGCCAGCAGTGCTCGTCTCCCAGGATCAGGGTCACCGGTGGGTTCTGTCAACAGCAGAAGAGGGTGAGGGCGGGCGGGCATGGGGGGAGATGGGGTGGGCCAAGAGCAGGCAGGGCCCACCCCGTCCCAAAATCAACTGCGTGAGGCATACATGCATGCACACCAGGCACCCCCCCTGCACGGGAGATGGACTGCACGAACCGCCATGGCTAGCGTGCCAGGCTGGACGCTGCCAGTGCTGGTGGGTGACAGCGTCACGGCAAGGAGAGCGCTCATCCCTGCCTCTGCTGCACTCAGGGGTGAACAGCCAGCACCGCCCCATCCCCTTGCACCCACGATCCCCTCCTGGCTGCTCCTGCCGCACCCAGCAGCGCCCGGGGCTGGAGACAACACAGTCCGGCCCCCTGTCCGACACCGTCCCGTTGCACTGCAAGGCGGATGCCTGCCCAGCCTTGTTGCAATGCAACGTATGTGCAGGCATGTGTGCATGCACGTGTGTGTAAATGCACAGGTGCACAAGGGGAAAAGGATGCTGCGCACGCAGCTCCTGCCAGGGGAGAGCTGAAAGCTGCTCCCGCGCTGCCCTCCCCATCCCGCTGCCTGGTCCTGGGCTCCGACCTGCGCCACCTTCCTGCGCCATTAATGAATATTAATGAGCAGAAGAGGGGAAAAAAAAATTAATCTGCCAGCTCCTGGGCTGGTGGCGGCAGGAACGACAGAGAATCTCATTACGGCTCCCAACAGCTCTGAACCCTCCGACTCCGCCTGACGGGCTCGGGCGGTTCGGGCCTTATCGCTGCCAGGAGCACAGTGCTCCCGGCGTGATAACACATGCACACATGCATGCACAGACACGCAGACATGCTCAGACAGACGCACACATGCTCAGCCACTTGCACGCATACGCACACTTAAGTATACACAAAGATACACCCCCCCATATGCACGCATATATGTACACTCAGACACATGGGAATAGACACATCCTCACAGAAGCACACGTGGACACACACAGATATGCTCACAGGCACATGCACACGTTCAGACTCATGCATGTACACATGGCCACACATGTATGCTTGTTCACTGCACACTCACCGACAAAGTTTGCAGACTTTTGCACATACCTGCACTCGTACACATGCATTCATGCATGCTTGTACATCAAAACAACTGCACTCCCGCATGCTTGTACACCCAGACACCCGTACTCACACATGCTTCTACATGCAGACACCCGCACTCCCACATGCTTGTACACCCAGACAGGCACCTGCACTCCCACATGCTTGTAAATGCAGACAAACACTCACACTTGCACACACACTTGCTGATGGCACAGGACTGATCTTTTTTGGCATATGGCTTTGGGGAGCAAAAAGACCTATGCAGCCTGCTGATGGTCTAAAGCACAACGCCTCCCCCGCCACAACGTGCACCAGCCTGTGCATAGCAAGGTCAGGGTCGGGATGCGGGGGCTGGAAACAGGGCTCTCCCAGCCGCGGGCTGTATGGAGAAGTGCAGCCCGTGTGCAGCATGGGGGTACATACAGCGGTGGTGAAGGCCAGTGCAGGGCCCATGTCCCAGCCATGCCAGGTCCAGCACTGGTGCTGCTGGGAGGAAGTGGCTGCTCAGTCTGCTCCCTGCACCCAGCCGAGGTGGGCATCGGTGCCCTGAACCGCTGGATACTCTTGCTGTGGGAATTCGTGGGAAAGCAGGACAGGTGGGGGGGCCACGGCATTGCCCCAGAGTGGGGGGCAGGACTCATCCTCTTCTGGTACCCATCCCTGAAAAGGGCAGGCTCAGCCCAGCCTCAGTGGGTGCTCCCAGCTGGGCTGGGGAGGGGGTGGGCTGGAGCAAAACCTCGCTTGCCCTCCCCTGCACAGCCCGACTCGGCCTCCCCAGCTGGCCAGCGCCTCTGAGAACCCTCCTTGTTCTCCTGGTAACAAAGAGGTCAGTGTCTCGGCTCTGAACCGGGTGCGATAACCATCGGAAACCCTATCTGTGCCGCATCCGCTCGCGCCGCGCTCCCTGGGGCAGGGCTGGCCCTGCGTTCCCGGCTCCCGAACTGCCCCGCGGCTGGTCGGCAACCTTCACCCGGGGCTGCCGGGCACTCGGGGGATGCAGACTCAGGTGCTCCCCTGGCAGGGTGCTGTGCCAGCTGCCGGGGCAGACCTGGCTGGGTAGGTGCCCCAGTCCAGCCAGGCATTGCCCCTGCATGGGGGGGTTGGCAAAGCTCCCGGGAGGCCAGGATGCTCCCAGCTCAGGCCTCATCGCAGGGCTTGCATGCACCAGCCTGGGTGCATGCCATCCTTCGGGCCCTGGCAGCCTCTGCAGCGACCCTCTGGTCCTGGAGCTGGTGCAGAGTCGTGCCCTGCTGGCCCCTGGCACAGGTCTGCACACGCCTCCGGGGAGCACAGGTCCCTTCCTCCGGCTGCAGGCCAGGCGGGTGCCTGGTCAACCATAGCCCATGCTACTTTACTTTGTCCAATTAGCCCTGGGGACACAGCACACACCTGGATGAGTCCCAGGGCCGGAGCCTCCCTGCAGGCACTTGCAGCATGCCTGAACACTCCAGGTCCAACAACGCTGGGGGGGGGGGGTCAGCGTTGCGCCCATTATACAGACCGGAAACTGAGGCACCGCATGGCACAGTGACTTGACCAGGACCGCGAGCAAGTTGTTGGCAGAGACAGGGTGCCATCACTAGTGTTCCTGACTCCCAGCCCTGTGCTCAGCTGGAGGCATTTCTACCTCCTGTCTGGATGGGGCTCAAGGGGCTATGAGCATTGGGCATGGTCTCGCTCTGCAGCAGACGAGGACCATCTCTTCCTGCCATGGGCCAGCCCTGCGGCCTCCTGGCTCAGAGACTATGAAGAGACAAGGCAGCCTGGGACTGGAGCGAGAGGTACAGCCAGACCCTCCTTGTCCTTGGCGAGGGCCGTGGGTCCCAGGCCCCATCCCTGCCAGGATGGCAGCCTCCCCCTGCATCCTCCTGGCGCGCAGGGGAGGCCAGGCCTTGCTCTTCCTCCTCCTCTTCCCAACAACAAAGGCAAATAGACTGGAGGGCGATAGCGCCTATCAGGGATGGAGCTGCGATTCCTTCCTCAGTTCTCCGGGCAGAGATAGCGCGGGAGGCGAGCGGCAGAGAAAAGCAGGGCTGGAAACCATCAGCGCGGCTCGATAAGGAGCCGCTGAAATGGGAGCAAAAATATTTAGACAATAAATGAAGTATCAGAAAAGCCGCGCATATCTTTAAGGAATCAATCATCCTGTACCGGGTGTCTGGACATACGGCGCCAAAGGAGAGATAGCTGCCGAACTGGGGAGATAAGGGTTAATCAAGGATTTAATTCGGCAAAGATAAACGGGGCCGGAGCTAAGGAGAAAGAAAAAAAAGAGACAGAGAGAAGCAGCCAAGACTTTCTGTCCTGCTCTCTCTTGCAAGAACCTAAAGGGAACTGCCTCCAGCTCTCCTTTCCCGACACCCTGCACCTGGGGGATGCACAGCTGAGGCCTGGGAAACTCGGCTCGGCCTGGCAGCACCACACGGACCCAGCCCAGGGCTGGCCAAAGCGCGGAGGAGAGGAGCACGTGCAGCCCCGTGCACCCCAGCTTGTCTCTAGACAGGTCCGTGATGGCTTGGGATGCACTGGTCCTCGTCTCCACCCCGCACCAAACCTGCTGCCCTCCTACGGCTCGAGGCTGGACTGACGACCGCTGGAGACTCCTTCAGCCCGACCGCTCTAGGGTTTCCTAGCACTAAAGATGATATGTGTAGAGTGTGCGTGAGCACACCCGCCCCCATGAAGTTCACACACACACACACACACAGAAGTACACACCCCATGAAGCTATCACCTGTCCCATGAAGCTAACACACACATGCATGTACACCCACCCATCCAAGTGAACACACACATGCACCTCTTACTCATGCACAGGCAAACACTAGTGAAGCTGATACCCACTCACACATTCCTCCATGAAGCAGTGTCACACACACGTACACCCATGAAGCTAACACACACACACACACACGCAAGTACACACCCCATGAGGCTATCACCCCCCATGAAGCCAACACACATATGCATGTACACCCACCCCTCCACGAAGCTAATGCACACATACATACAACACTCCCATGAAGCTTTCGCACATGTGCATGTGCACACCAGTGAAGCTGACACACTCACACACCTCTCCATGAAGCTCTCACACACACACCCTGACACCCATGAAGCTAACACACACATGCAAGTACATGCCCCATGAAGCACCTCCCCATGAAGCTAACACACATATGCATGTACATCCACCCATCCAAGTGAACACACACATGCACCTCTTACACATGCACAGGCAAACACTAGTGAAGCTGATATCCACTCACACATTCCTCCATGAAGCACTCTGTCACACACACATGTACACCCATGAAGCTAACACACACACACACACACACACACACACACGTACACACCCCATGAGGCTACCACCCCCCATGAAGCCAACACATATGCATGTATACCCACCCATCCATGAAGCTAACACACACATGCACCCATACACACAAAACACTCATGAAGCATTTGCACATGCACACACCAGTGAAGCTGACACCCCCCCTCCATGAAGCTCACACACACCCATGAAGCTAACACACACATGCAAGCACACACCCCATGAAGCTATCACCCGTCATGAAGCTAACACACATATGCATGTACACTCACCCATCCATGAAACTAATACACACATGTGCACACACACACCATACCCATGAAGCTCTCGCACATGCAAACACTAGTGAAGCTGACACACACACACACACCCCTCCATGAAGCTCACACCCCCCTACACTCACACACGCAAGTACACTCCCCTCATTAAGCTAACACACATATGCAGTTACACACAACATACCCATGAAGCTCTCACACATGCACATACCACTGAAGCTGACAACCACCCACACACACACCTACACCCATGAAGCTCTCATACACACACACACAGAGCCATGAAACTCTCTCTCACACACACCCATTCCTGAAGCTCTCACACACCCACCTCCCATGAAATACACACATGCACATCCTTGAAGCTCACCCCCATGAATTGCTGTCTCACACCCCCCCCATAAAACTCACACACACATCCATCCATCCACCCACAAAGCTCTCACACACCCACCTCCCATGAAACTTTCTTACAGATGCACACCCATAAAGCTCTCTCTCTCACACACACACACACACACACACACACACATACACAGAGCTTATCCAGACCCCACAGGCTCCAGACCCCAGACCGGGAGGGTCCCCCTGCCCAGCGGCTCCGCTGAGGGTAGCTGCAGCGGACATGCAGAAAGCCTGCAGAGAAGCCTTCCATGCACCGGTGCCCCGTTGCCCTGTGGCAGACCGGCGCCGGAGGCCGCCCTGCCCATGCCCACCTCTCCTGTGTGGCGGGGCCAGATGTCCCCTGGTAGGGCACACGAGAGAGGGTGGTGCATGTCCCAGTGGCAGGGCCTGGACACAGCACTGGCTGCTGTGGTGCAGCCCTAGGGAGCTGCAATGTGCTTTTGCACTGAATTGCAGCCAGGTGCTGGGCTTGGGGGGGAAAGGAGGGGAGCATAGGAGCAAGATGCACCCAGTGCCCAGCCTAAGCAGCCCCCAAACCTCCTGCTGAATCCTGGACTGGGCCCAACCAGGCTCTGCCCTCTACGTCCTGCCAGGAGGAGGATTCCTGCCCCGCACCTTGAACCCGAGTCGGACTCCAGCAGTGCCCATGCGTCTGCTTTTGCAAAAGCCTGGCACTTTGAGCTGCCCTCTGTGCTCCTGGCGACACAGCTAGCTCCCTCCCTGCTACCCTGGGCAGCGGTGGGCACACTGCAGCCCACGTTGCTCACACATCCTCCCTCCTCTGTCCCCCTTCTCTGCTGGACAACATCCCCAAGCAGAGGAGGGAAGGAATCAGCTCCCAGGAGCCGGACCACACTCCCTGGTGCTGGGGCCTTTCCCGGAGGGGAAACGCAGTGGGCTTTTGCAAAAGGAGCAGGACACAAGGGAGGGCTCCCCTGCTCAGAGCTGCTGTCTGCCCCGCGCTGCCCATTGACGATGCAGGTCATGCCAGCGTCTGCCCGGAGATCCCAGCCTCCCACTGCGGGGACGGCGGCGCAGGCGATCAGGACCCCGCCGACGCATAAACAAATCTGTGCATACGCAGATGGGGGCAGCTAGTCGTTTGCACAAAACCTCTTCACCTTCAGTCTCAATGCAGAGGGACATTGCCTGCACGTTTGCAGAGGAATACAGCATCGGGCAAGAGGCCAGCTGGGAGAAGGCCATGCGGGGTCCTCGTCTCGACCCAGCGGGGCTGAGAGGTGCGATGCTCTTGCGGGAGGGGCAGACATCGTGCCCCCCAGGCATGGGGCTGGGGAGTCAAGGGCTTGGCAAGCAAGGCCAAGGTTGGGGGAGCCAGCGCCCAAATGTTGCGAGAGGAGGGGGTCCTTACTGTCTCGTTCTGCTCCGGAGACGCCGACTCGCCGTGGATGTTCCCGTGGTACGGCCCCCAGCGCAGCCCCGCGGGTAGGCTCTGCCGGGCACGGATGCGGCTCTCCCCCTCCGGCTCGACCAGCTCCAGCTCATCTGGGGAGAGAGGACAAGGGGCAGTGAGAGAGGGGCTGGCTGATCCTCCCACGCCGTTCACCCCCCTTCCCTGGATGCAACATCCTGCTCGGATGTAGGGCCCAGCTAGCACGGCAGGTACCAAACCCAACCTCTATGCACGGGATCTGCATCTACACCCTCTCCCGGGACTCGCGTGGCTGGCTGGTCCCTTGCTAAGCAGAACCATTGCCCCTTTCCACCCTGCTCAGCGAGGTCTTTCAATCCTAAATCCCCCTGGATGTTCCCAGAGGAAAGCATCCTAGATGGGAGGGCAAGAGGCTGAGCACAAATCCATAGCTACCAAACCCAGAAGTTTTATAAGCCCAACAGCAGCAGCTTGCTGTAGCCGGGGAAGGGAAGGAAATCACATCTGGGTCTTGGCTGCTCTCGGTCCTTTATGATGGGGATGACCTTGGCCACTGATGAGGACTTCAGGAAAGGTCACACGTGCAGCAGACACCACAGTGCTATCCTGACGGAGCAGAGCAGAGGGATGCACCCCCAGAAAAGCAGAACTCATGGGATGGGGGTGCCCGTACCACCAGCAAAAGAAGCAAGCAATCTCGGTTTAACTTCCCTTTGTCCTGGGATAACAGCGTGCACGCAGGCGGTTACACCTGGCGATGCCCTCCTTTCCTGCAGCAGCTCAGCCCGAGCCATAAGGGCACAAAGCAGCAGAGGCCCAGCTGCATCCAAAGGGCCTTGCCTGTCAAGACACCGGGGTAAGCATTTCCCCAAGCTGGAGAAAAGCTGAGTGGGCTCCAAGCATCAGGCTACGTGGAGATACGGCAGTGATGTCCCAGGCGCGTCAGCGGTGCGCTGGGAGAACGATGCAGTTCCCCGTACAACAAGGAGCCTGGCACCTAGGTCGGGCCGCATTGGGGGTGACAGGGGGGAAACAGGGCTGGGATGGGCTCGGTACAGCCCATCAAGCCCGGTCGGCTTGGGCTGACTGCGGGGACTGACCCTGAGCAGGGCTGGGAGGTTGGGTACCGGTGCATTAGCAAATCCCACCTGCAGCTTCACTTCTCCAGCCTAAAGCATCTCACAGGCTTGCTCCGTTTGGGGCTGGAGGATCCTTCCCCCCTGGGTCTCTCTCCGGGCAGCTGGAGTTCGCAGGGGTTGGGGCAGGGAGATGCGAGGATCCACTTTGCTTCCTAGAACCCTAAGTCCGAGGCAGCTTTCGGGCTTAATGGCCTTGATTATCTGATAAGCTTCTGGGTTTAATGGGTGAGATAACATGTAAATACACTCTGAAGGCTGCTCGAAAATGTTTTAACTGCGCCTTTGTCTTTCGGCGTGCAGATAAGATGGCAGCTAACCAATACTCAAATGGAGGCTAAATGGAGGCTCCCAGCACCCCGCTGGGAAGAGAGAGGCCGGCAGGGATGGGATGGATCCGGCTTCTCTGCAGGGAGATGCTTCAGGGAGGCACCTGCGCCCAGATCCCCTCTATAGGATGCCACGGCACGGATGACCGACCGCCCCCGAAATTCAAATGCTCGCTGGCTCCGAATACTGAACGGGGCCGGGGCAGTGGGAAAGTCGTGTGCCTCAAACCATCACTTGATGCAACAGCTTGGCTGCATTGTATGAGGTCAAAGAGGCTTGAACCCCAAGGACCAGAACAGGGATCCCACTTACAGGGGATACTGGGATCTGAAGGAGTCAGAGCAATGCCCAGAACTGCACCCTTCCTTCTCCCAGGGATAAATGACCTCTCTGACTGTCGGCTAGGTCAGAAACCAGACCCTTTGGAGGTTGATGCACAAAGCTCCACTGCTCGAGCTGAAGAAACAGCTCCGTTAGCTGGTAGCAGAGCAGAGACTCACACCTGGAGCTACCTGCTGGCTCAAGCCTGAAGAAGAAAAGCCAAGAGACCCCACAGACAAAGGCAGCTGCAACAGCAAAGGTAAGGGCATGCAATGATGCCCATCCCTTGGTACATGCCCATTTGCATATGCAAATAGCACCTGCATTTCGCCTTGTCCATGCCGAACTGGTTCTATGCACATGGCAATACCTGACTGGCACATGTGCACATGCACACACACACGTAAACACACACACACGGCATGCTCTGCCGTCCAATCCTCTTGCCCCAGCATCGTGCCCCTGTTGGGCAATAGCCCTATCTGGCAGGTCCAGCCAATGAATGAATGAATGAATGAAAGGATTCAGGTAGTAGCTGTATTGGTCTAGAGGCAAAAGGAATCAGGACTCATGGTAGAGGCGATCTCTTTTATTAGCCCGACTCGATTTTGGCAAAAAAAATTCCTTTAAATTTCCTTTAAAGAATTTTTTTTGCAAAAAACCAGTTGGTCCGATAAAAGATATCACCTCTACCATAAGTCCTGATTCCTGAATGAATGAGCTTTTAGGTAAGAGCAGCCGAGAACTTCCCTCCTTCCCAGCTCCACCTCCTGCACCAGCCGGTGACCGCCAAGCCCTGGGATACAGGGATTGGGTACCCAGGGAGGGGTGGATTCAGGGGTTTGCAAGAGCAGATCAGACAGGCACCTGCCAGGAATGGGGTAGGCTCATATGCTGGAGCTGGTGGTGGGGCTGGACCGTAGGACCTCCAGCCCCGTGTCCTTTGAGGACTTTGGAGCCTCATCCCGCGCAGCGTGGGAGCAGGGAGGCAGCTGTGAAAATGCCATCGATAATCAGAGATGCGGCAAGGATGAGGCAGTAGGGAGTGGAACAGATCGAGGGCGGGCATGTCTGTGATCCCCCGCGGGGGTCCTCTGGGCTCAGGAGGATGACAGCTTTGCTTCCTCCAGCCCCTCGAAGGGCACTAGCCCTAGGGGACATCTCCTGCCAGCCTCCTAGGAGCATCGGTGTGTACTTTAGGGCTGTCACGCTCGGACACCAACTTGGCTCCAAGGATGGGAACAGCCACCGTGCAACTTAGATGCACGGGGGGTCCCAGGAGCACCCTACTGCGACCCCTCGAGCCCTGTGGGCTGGGCTGGCTAAGGGGCCTGGACGCCACATGGGTGTCCAGCTCCCTTTGGCCCAGGCCCCATCCCTGTGTGGCTACGCTCCCAAATGCCCCCCAGCCCCGCTGCTCCTCAGAGGAGATGCCCCTTGCACACAGAAAGGACTCAGGTATCTGGAGAGGGGCTTGAACTCGCTCCTTTGGGGTTGGAGCGAGATCCCTTTAAGGGGCTCTGCACGGCAGGTGGCAGAAGGAGCAGCAATGGGCTCAAGCTGCAGCAAGGAAAGTTGAGGTTAGATACTAGGGAAAACTCTCTCACTAGGAGGGTGATGAAG